CGAAAGTGGCAGACAAAGCAATCGCGAAGCTGAAAAGGGAAAAGTGCTACCTCGTGCTTGATGTTGCATTGACAGGGTCGACTTTCGGATCAAACGCTCTCCTGCGGGTTTCAGGGCTAAGACAGGAAGTTGAGAATTAGACCATCCCTCGCTAGGACAAGCAGAACGATAGTGCCAGAACACAAACATCTTGTGAATTGCAACCGTGAAGAATCGCCCTACACGACCGTTTCATACTTCTCCAGACTCTTAACCAACCTCCCCCACCGTCCATCATGCCACACCGACAAATCCTTCCACTCTTGACTATCCTCGCCAAAGACGACACGAAAAGCCAACATCCATCCGCACACGGTGAGGTCCGCGAACGTAGGTACGTTCCCTGTAACAAACGCATCCCCCTTCGGTATCCAACTGTTGATTTTGTCAAGGTCAAGCTTGAACAGCGCCCATTGCTCCGCTCTACGCGCCCCACGCGGATCCATTTCCTCAAGTGTTTGCCCGAAAGCCTCCTCCCTAGTCTTCCTGAAGAACGCCTCGCTTCGGGGATTCAGCACTGCGTTAGCTGCAGGCACCAATAACGGGATTATCGCCTTCAGCAGTAGGGCGTGAAAAGCAGCCGTGAATGCAGCGTGCAAGGCTCGTGTACCGGGAGGGAACAGGCGCGGAGTGTCAGGGTAGGTTGCGTCGAGATACTCGGCAATGGCGGCTGAATCGGATATGATAATACCGGTTGACAAATCGTGGATGAGTGGGAGGTAGTAGTATGGTGTCACGCCATCCTGTAGGGTAGCACCAGCTGGTACGCCAAGTTTCTTGTACAGCGCCTCGATATCAGGGAACTCAATCCATTCCGTGCGGTATGGTACGCCCTTGAAGTTCAGCGCATACCTATTCAAAGATAAGGGATGGTGTTAAATGAGTATACGAAGCTAGCTGACCTGGCCTTCCATGTATTGGGGGAACATGCATTGATGGGCAACTTCGAAGGGATATCGTAGAAGATAATAGTCTTCGACATGATGGTCGATCGATAAAATGCGGCATCATCGGTCCGCGGGTACTCATTTTCACCGCACGTGCGAACCAACCTTCGTGGCCACAGCGACATGGCTGTGGCCATGTTAGGGCTGTGGACCCGGCCGTTCCTGATTGGGACCTTGTGCTGGTACACAACACCGCACCACACCAAATGAAACCGATCTGTTTACAGGTAAGCTGCGACGTTGTTCATTATAAAGGTGTACAGACCTCTTTTATAGTGAAGCCTACTGGGGGAGGGCAGCATCACATCAGGCGTGTCATGCTAGCCTGAAGTAGAACAGTAAGCGCCCTTCCTCAGCATAAGCTAGGAGCCAGAATAAGTAGCGGAAAATGAGAAGAAAACGAGGAGAACGTACTATTCATCGTTGTAAATGGCTTTCCCCGTATCTTCAATGGAGTCGTCTGACCTCCTTCGGACGAGATGCGAATGCGGCCACTCCTCCTTAACCTGAATTCGGCTTTGTGCCCGGGAATCGCGCGCGCGCTTCGAGAAACTGAATGGTAAGGAAATGCTTAGAAATCAAGTAAAAGAGTGCATAAGAATGCCTACCAGGGGTGGGCACGTCCTTAATGGAGCCAACCTGAGTCTTCACCATCTTTTTCGGAGAGTGTAGGAACCTTGACAATGGCCATGGCCTAGGCTTCTACCTTGCTGTCAGCCTTAGTTTTGCCCTCGCTGTTCTTTGCTATGCATTGACTAAATTATTTAGTAGAGACGAATAGTGAACGGGAGGAGTACTAACCTTAGGAGCAGTTTTCTCCTCGGATTCGTTACCCGAAAACGGTAACAAACCAACCACGGCGGACACCGTTTAACAAGGACCACCATTCGTCGTTTTAACATCAACAGAGGACACATACGAGACGGTAGTGTCTGGCAAAAGACCCGGCTCTGTTTTCAGGACGCAGGAACAGCCAACCGCATCTGCGGAAGACTGTGTTTGAAGGATAATTCGTGAACGAAACAGTGTCTCTGGATCAAGCGGATCGAGAAGACTATAGAGGAAATACAACGAGTAAAGACGCGCAGAGGATGGAATATCCAGCTCACCGTAGTACCGTTTATTTGCACCAGAAGCAGATGCCCCGGATAGACCTAGATATCTTCCGAAGTACTTGTCGATATAGGCACTGCCAAACGATGAGGATGAGTTTCCGGGGCTAGCCAATTGATCTAGGTTGAACGTTGACAACGTTGAACATTGAAGTCTACCTGGGCTCCATCTACATCCAATTTGGTCCAGAGATTATTCTCTGCCGCATCAGGGCATTGCGACATGATCCCTTCGGAATGTCCCCGAGCTGGACTACCAGAGGTGAGCGAGACGAAACGACGTATAGGCTACAGACGCACTGACAGCGATTATCCTCATGACTCTCTCATGAAAATGCGAAGAAATTCAGATCAAGGGCAAGGAAAGCGGCAATAAATTCGACGTAAAATGCTGAGGAAGATTGTGGTTGCGGAGCAAAGGAAACTTAGGAGAGAATTGACAGCGCAGACACGCCGTAGGACATTGCCGCCTTCGGCAGTTGGTGATGCGGTCCGGCGGGCCGGCTATTGTTGGCATTTCAATTTCCAACGCACCCAAGTGATCTTCCCTCCAGCTCGCTTCCAGGAAATCAAGAGAGGTCCCTTCGAATCGCCTTATGGCTTCCTCGGAGCCTTTCAGCCGCCTGGTAAGGATCTATACGACGGTCACTCCTTCTGTTTACCCTGGGAAAGACCAGGTGATAAGCATGAAACTGTAATCCGTCTTGATTCCGTCAAATTCGTGTTCAAATAGGAAGAAGATGCTGCTTTTGAGGGGCTCCGATTCTTATCGGATGTTGCCGTTTCCAAAGTTGCAAGTCATCTATCATTCACGATGGCTCTTCTTACGGCCGATGACAAGGCTGAACTATGCTCTAAATCTGAAGCATTGACCTTGACCTAGGCTTGGTAGAAGCCCGTTGTGGGATTTTCAGCAAAAATAATCCTGGGGTCGCCATGACAGTTCAGGGTGGAGAGTGCAAGCATTTGACTGCCTTCCCCGCCACAGAAGCCTCCACCCACAGGCCTGCCTCTATCTCCTGACGGACTTATGCAAGTCACTCGTTTTCACATTGTGTCTCGTGTCCCTGCAGGCAAGGCCGGAAACGTCAGATGCTGTGTCGTTCCTAACAAGGATTTACACGAGGTGCGTCTGTGAATAAATATCAGAACTGAGGGCGCATTTGCATAATCTATTTCTTCAAAGGATGCAAAAGTCTAAAGAACCACTAAGATATGTGCATGCAATACAAGTCATTTATCCGGACCTCAATTACTGCGCAACCGAATGTGCCTTTGTGGCTTCGGAGCATTATTATTCCATGCGTCATCATTAGGCAATCGCGTACGAGCGCTACTCGAGTCTAGACTGGCTGAGAGTCGACCAATCGTTGTGAATCTAACTCTGAACCTTGGACGCCACCAATAGGATTTTCAAGCCCTGCAAGGGGCAAGTGCGATCTTTTCCTTCTGACCGTGACTGTATATTAAAAAAATCTCTATTGTCCCCGAGGGTGTGTTTCTCTTACGTCTCAAATTCCGCAAACCCCAGATGATCTTCTCATTTCGTCCGGGTCATCGGGCCTTCCATTCACAGTTGTCAACGACCTTTATAACGACTCCCATTCTTCGTCTTGTTCCCCATTCTTCCCCGGCCGGAAGTTTATCGCTTGAGTTTCTCTTTACCATCTAATATCTCCCTCCCTTCGTTAAAATGTGCCTCCACATAACCACCCAATACGCCTACACTTGCGGCAAAGTCACGACCACCGAAAGTCGTGTCCAATGCCCACTGCGCCAAAAATACCTCTCTGATAAGCGCGCGTGGCTCGATGGTGCCGCGGCTCCCCAGTGCTTATGCGACGGGATGCCGAGAAAGGAGAAGAGGCGCATAGAGGTGGGGAAGCCCTGCAAGCCGGGCTGCCAGTACATTGCGTTCCCAGAAAGCCAGTGAGTCACCTGTGTACTTCTGAAGGACGATGATGATCTGACCGGGACAGTGACTAGTCGGCCCTATGTTTCTCGTTCTGAAGCGAGGTTTCAGGCGTGGACTTCGTCGTGATCGCGTTTCCGCCGACGCCTTGAATATAAAAATCCAGCTGGCCATGGAACATTCCCTTTGTGTACAATCATTTCGCTCATCGGTTGATCTCTATTTCGTCTTTATCAGATACTAATCATGTTGTACAACGCACCAGCTTCATTCGGAACGATACTACAAAAGTATGTATAAATTCCTTACTACTAATCGAAACCTTCTCTTGTTCTCTTTTGCTTACAAAAATTACATGTACGCTTAATGTATAAGTATCTCTTGATTCTTGGAAAGTGTTGCGTTGCCGTGTTTCTTCACGATTGTAAACTCGAGCATTGAACAACTTGAGTTGGCCACTGACTGATTAAATAAGACTACGCGCTTTGTCTAAGCTCTAGAACTGGATGCAACAGGCCTACAGGGGTACGCTCGAGGACAATAGGATTCCTTTATCACCTGCCATATCCACAGACCAACGACCGAGGCGGTTGGAATTTTGTTAAGAATATCATCGAGCCATATCTGTCCAAAACCTATGCCTGAATGCCGTCACTCAGCATATTCCGGCCGCACAGGACTGACCCAGCTACAGGCTACCACAGGCGTGCAATCCAACCAATTAATAACATGAGGGCGTAGAATCATGATACCATTATCAGCCCACGCGAGATGAGCATTCAACTGCAGCGGTGAGTCGTAATTGTAAGCAGAGATATCAAGGTCTAGCCGTCGGCAGACGTGTCGGTGGCTGAAAAAAAACTCACTGATTAGGCGAGTTTTGATCGACGCAAATTTCGATCATCGCCTCCATCCCCTTTTCCACAATTTGTTTTTCCCTCATTTTGGGGTCCTTTACGATGAGAATGATATAATTCGATAGCTATGCATGGCGAGATGGCCGAGCGGTTAAGGCGCCAGACTAAGGAAATCCCATTTCTCCTCATGAATTGAAAGTCGGGACCAAGGCAGTTACTGTCTAAGCAAGCAATCTGGTCCGAAAGGGCGTGGGTTCGAGTCCCACTCTGCGTCAGTGTTTTGCCCTCCTACGATGATATATTATTGCTACATTTTGTCTCTAGTGCATAGTAATACATATAGGGATTTGTCTGTACAAGTTTACCCGCTTCTGAGGGCCTGAGCTCGAAGTACACTCTGCATGCGTTACAATCTTATGATTGATCAGAGCTGTAGTTTCCCTCTCCAATTTAGAGAAAAGATGATCATATAAACATGCTTCGCTCAGCTTAGAAGTTTTCGTTTCAGTTCCTGAATCGAAATACCGAAAGAGACGAGATAAGAACAGTTGCAATTACTCTGGATACACCAATACGTATGCCACTCTCATCCATTCACAATGAGCAAGTTATAGGTAATCACTGTCTACCCAATCCGCGTAATCAGTTCCCAACACATCCGATATTGTGTAGCCGCTGGTTGAGGTTAGTGTTGTAGCAAACGACGCGCGAGTACCTGAAGCTCCGTCTCCTGAAAGAAAGAAAGAATATTAGTAGAATATCATCAGGACACAGCATTGTCAACTTTACCGGAACTGTTGTACTCAGCAAATGTGACACCGTCAGTATTGGGTTCGCTGCTAGACCACTCCTCCCACCCGGCACTGTTGATCAAGTCTCCGAGTGAGCAGGATGTGTAGACGACCCTATGTGACTTTGGTCAGCCGAGAAAATAACGACAGACAACCGGGAAACATACCGAGCATATGCCCCCCATGGGCGCCCAAGGTACACCAGCCCCTCAAGAGACGTCGTCGCCGAACTGCTAGTAGTGGTGGATTCGTTGATGACATCTGGGAAGGACACTGTTGAACCTAGAATGGCACAAAATGGGTAGTTACTCACACAAGCTTACTCCATCCGACGATGAGCGTCCGTTAGCGGTAATTGCCCCAGCGCCCACGGAAGCAAGCGTGGACTGGTGGAAGTAGGCCCTTGCGTATTGACCGAAAATGTAATCGACCGCTCCTTCAATGTAGCAGGATCCATAAAATTGGTTACCTGTTTCTGCGAGTACCGT